GTCGGGCAGGGGAGAGGGGGGGCAGGGGGAGGGAGGAGGAGGGAGGAGGGGATGGGTATTTGTATACACAAGGAGTGCAATGCGCACCACCCGAAGGATGGACATATTTGAAACTCGGACTTGGGGGGGGTTACCAAGGGCAACATACGTAACCTAAACATCTGTACCCCCATAATATGTTGAAATAAAAGAAAAAAAAAAGAATATTACAAGTTCTTACTGACTGTTCTCCCTGCCTCTGGTCACCCTCGCCAGTTTGCCCTTTACACTGCTGTCAGGGTTTTCCTTCTAAGTCACCAATCTGATCATACTACTTTCCTGATTAAAAACCTCTGATAATTATTTTTTGCTACAGAAGAATATCTGAGCATCCTGGCATGGCATGGCATAGCAAGTGTTTCATGACCTGACTCCAGCATGCCCTTCCAGTCTCAGTCTGGATGTGTGTTCCTGTTCACCTACCCCAGGCTGCGGTGATTCTAGGCCACTCTCCATTATTCAGACACACCCTGTGTTGCATGTCTCTGGGGTGTGTGTGGGTGTGTGTGTCTTCTTTTTCTTCCCTATAATCCTCTCTATTCCTACCCTATCCTCCCAGCAGAGTTACTACATTTATCATATATATACTTTCCCACACTCCACAGAGGATTTTAAGGCTACATACAAAAATGCGTGCAAAACAGTAATGTTGAAAGAAAAAATAATAAAATAGGAAGGTTTGCACATATGTAAATTTGATGGAATTAATTGTTCACTTTTATGTGTTCTCACAATACTTTTTAAAACTAGATTATAATATTGTAATATTATCATAGATATGTTGTATCTTTTTATTATTCAAAATTCCATGAAGGACAGAGATTTTAGATTATTCATCTTTATATTCCTGGTATCTGGTACAGTAGTAGGCACATATTCAGCGCTCAATATGTTTGTTAAATTGAATTAAAGCGAATTGTCTGAGGGGTGTTCTGAAAAGTTAGCAACCATTGTTCTGCCTCTTGGTGAATATGAACATTTTTATGTTGATGCAACATTAGTTTTATGGCCATATTGAAGATTTCACTATGTACTACCTCTTCCAGATCATTTCTAAATATTGACATCACAGTGGTTACATTTTCACCGTTCTGTGAAATGGAATACATAGACAGTAGAAATTGGATGATGTGATTGTAGCGGTAGTTTAGCTGGTCAGCATACATCATTGCTTAGATTAAACAAAGTACAAATATATTCATAAAATTTTTGATCATTGTTTTCTGCTGATTAGAATCATAGTGCAAAAACTCTGAGCCTTAGTCTTTAATTAAAATATAACTATTTTAAATTAGTCTTTTGTACTCTCAAGACTTTATGGACAACACAAGTCAAGCATGATATGTATAACCTAATATTACACAATTCGTGTGGTGTTTGGTGCCTTCTTAGTTTGATTTTGGTGTTAAGGGAAGTGAATGTATTACATATCTTAAAAAATCGTTCTCTTTCTTAAAGATATAATTTTAATTTTTCTTCCTCAGAACATGGCTGCATATCATCATAATGATGTCTTCTTTTCTTTACAGTAGACTCTTACTTAGCTAATCAGAGCCTATTCATTAATCTGTCTGAGCCCAGTGGTGTTACAGATAATTTCCTTCACCAAGAGCACAAACATACCTTCTCCAGGGGTGTTATTTTCTTGTTTATCCGTTACCTCTGATTCATTTCTACTTAATTGGACAATGATAGCATACTTTCTCAAGGTGAAATCAACATAAATAAATATTCTTTATGGTTACTGTTCTCTGCTGTTTTGATTCCCATGAATGCAGCAGAAAATAAAAGGAAGACTTTAGGAGGCATTTTTCATGTCTTGGATTCCCTTTTCTGGATGTGCAGAAAATTGCTGTCATAAAATTTCATATGCTGCTGATTGACCAACCATTAGATACGTTTTTGCGTAAGTAAAATTGCGAAGGACAGAAAAAAGTGGAATTTTTAAAATGTAGCCCTTAAGCTATAGTTGCATGCTAGTCAGGCAATGTAGGGACAGCTAAGAAATTGGTGGATGTGCATATCACTGGTTGATAACAGGCTCAATGAACTGGGCTTTTACTAGCCTTTACTTGTTATAATAGATATAGTAATTGCCCATAAGGCCATGCTTCTGGCCTTTTCGTTTTCTATTGTTTTTTTAAAATTTCATTTTAAAACTAAACAATAGCAAGGCAAGTAAGATGAGGGAGAGAAGGATCAGAATGAGCGAGAGAAATAAAAAGTATTAAAATAAGAGTTTGCAGAACAATTTGATAAATGCTAATCTCTTAACAAGAACCTATTGGTAAATGAAAAACTGTGTTGTATAGCCTAGTTTGATAAACTATTAGGATGAAAGCACTTTTCCCTAGAAAAGTGATCATCATCATTATCATGAAAAATATTTATCAAATTTTGACTTATCCAGAAAATGTTCCTGAGTCAGATTTTTAGAGAACTTAAAGAAAAATGTAACTAAAGAAAAGCCATAAAAATATAACCATTAAAAAACTTAGAGATTATTATACTATGTACAGAATAGACTTGCAATTTAAGAAGTGTAATGGAATTATGCCATTTTATTCTTTCAATAATAAAGTAGAAAATATAATCCTAAGGGTTGAAGAATAGACATACAGAGTTGCCTCTGTAATGAGTCTAGCTTCAACTTATGTATGGTTTTCCCTGGGCAAATCTGGCTGTTGTCTACAGGATTGCCCTCAGATGTTGGGGTTGACAATATTGATGATGACTAACAGTTGTTGAGAATGTACTATGAAGAACTGAACTCAATTTTTAAGTATTTTCTTGTAGTTTTGGCCTAGGTCACCTGTTGAAGTAGTGGTTTTATAGGCTTGCCATGTCGTGTTAAAAGATTCTAAAGATACATAGTCCTTGAATTATAGAATGTGCAAACAAGCCCATGTTTACTTTATACACACTGCTCATGGTTTTACTGATGTTAGTTGTTATGTATACTCAGCTTTCACCTTTTCAGACTGAAGGATCAAATTATCATCTGATTTTCCACATCCAGACCTTCTTCATTTTGTATGCTACTTTTGAGAGTTGTAGCCATTTTAATGGCTTTTTGACTTTGACTCAGAGCCTATAAAAATTCCCAGGGTTATTCGTGGTTTATTTTTATTGTTATACTTGTATAGTATTTTACCGTGAGTATACATTTGTATGGTATTTTATTATGGATAAAATTCTTACATGGTCATTAGACTCTGATAACTGTCATTAAACTGATAACTCATTGTATTTTTTCCTTAAGTCCACTTTGCATTGTATACCTTAAAGCATTACCTTACCCTTGCTCACACCAAAGTATATCTCCTCTATTAGCTGCCACTATTATTGTACACTTAAACTCACTTTCCTGTATTTTAACCCCATTTCAGCGTAGCATTTCCCCACCTGGAAGAGCTCTGGGTAATTTGCAAATTGGAGGTTTCAGTGTATACATGTATGCTTCCTCTACCAGGTAATTTCTCTCAGTACTGAGATAAGAGCCTAGCACTGATCTTAGAAAACCCTATTGTTTCCATTTCCACATTCAAGGAGGTATTCGTCTCTTCCTATCCTTCCTTAAATAGGAAGCACCACTACTTCCAAGTTCTGTGGAAACTTGACTTTTAATAGCCTTCTTTTGATTATTTTTTTAAAAATTAAACAAAGTGGTTGCCTTTGTTATAGATTATGTGGAGAACCACCCTTTTTGGCAAGCTCAGAAGATAAGCTTTTTGAGTTAATAAGAAAAGGAGAACTACGTTTTGAAGATCCAATCTGGGATTCCGTAAGTGATAGTGGTAAGTATAGACTTCTTATTATTTACTAAAGCTAATATAAGAAAGTTGGCTGATAATTCAAATGTTTGTTTAGTCATTAAATTTACATGTGGAAATAAATACTGTTTATTTGTGGAAATAATGATATCTTCACTGTGATTGTTCATAGTCAAAGCTTCCACAAAAACAGAAAATATATAGTAAAAATTAAGGAGGAAATTTACTCATCATCTAGCTAATTTTTACCATGACCATTAAACTACGTAATTCAGGCAATAAAACTTCATGTTAGGCTTTAAACTTTATTTATTAGGCATTTATACTGGTGGCATTTACTGTATACTTAGCATCTTTCCTTCATGTTATGCAGACCTAATCCTGAGTAAATTGGAAAATGTATGATATTAATTATAGTCAAGATAAATAAGATTTTCAGAATTTTCCCTTATTTGCAGCTAAAAGTGTTTTGAAACAACTTATGAAAGTAGATCCTGCTCACAGAATCACAGCTAAGGAACTCCTAGATAACCAGTGGTTAACAGTAAGTTATAGTGTTACTTTTTTTCCCTTTCTTTCTGACATGCCACCATTGTTCATGTCTTTTCATTTTGCCTTGTAGTTCTGTACACAGTCTTCTTAAAACTAATTAGTTTCATATTCTGACAAGTTAAAAAAATTGAGTCTTGACACATTTCTGAAATGGGCATTTTCAAACTGTTACAACTGTTACCACAGTTGTTTATATATATTTATAGAGGTTTAAACGATCTTTGCTTCATGAAGGTATGTCCAATAGAACAGAGCCAAGAAATGTCCATTATTAAAGCTGTGGACCATTGAAGCAGTCTGTATGGGTTAGTGATATAAAGCACTGGAACCTCTCACCTCTCTTTCAACTCTTTGGATGCATGAAATTGGGGACTGAGAAAAGCCAAGGTCTCCAAACAGCGGCTGTTATCTGGCTTGAAATTTTAAGTAGTTATTTACATAGTGCTTTCCACCATTAGACTAAATGCCTCAAGCATAGACCCTGTGTCCTATTGCTCTTTGTACCCCTATACCCAGAAAAATATTACCTGATCACAATAGGAACTTTGGAAGAGTCTGCTACCTACCTCGCAATATTTATTCTCTCTCTCTTCTGTGGTAATGAGGATCCTGATTTTAGCTGGAAACATTGCTATCCAGTTAAAAAACTGTACTCCTTAGTTGTCTTTGCTAGTGATCATGATGGTCAATGAGATGTAAGTGGAAGTGGATGCCATTTCTGGGAAGCATCCTCAAATGGAGAGGGTATGGCATTCCCCATGCCCTTCTTCTTTCCTGATGGCTGGTATGCAGATGTGATGGCTGCGATTTGAATAGCCATATTAGACTATAAAGTGGAATCCATAAACTGGGGATGGCAGAGCAACAAGGTGCAAGGAGTCAGGGTCAGGGCTGCCCTGCCAACCTTTTT